AAACACGATAATGGGCATAAATCACAGTGAAATTAAGTTGTGGTAGATATTGAAACAATAAATCTTTTTTTTTTTTTTTTTTTTTTCTTAAGGACCTAGAGTTGATATTTGTCAAAGTAGAAAATTGGAAAATGACTACTGGCATTTTCATTTCATTCAAGTGCTATCTAGCCTGTTTCAGTTGGTTATCCATGGGCCTGTCTACTTGTGTATGAAGTGAAATGTGAACTAGACGAAGGAGAACATAATGGATTTTTAAAGCTACTTTTGTTAATGTTAAAGTTGAAATCTCTGAACACTTGGAATAAGCAAGTTGTACATTTTTATAAGGAGAAAAACAGATAATGAATTGTAGGCATATTTTTGGATATTCTAGTCTATGAAGCAGGTCAGAATCTGTTGTCATGTAAAATATACATAGGAATATATGTATAAAGACACACATACTTACATAAGTCAAAGCAAACTTAGGCAGAATAATTTCCATTGCTCTAAATAGGAAAAAAATATATGGTAAGTACTGTTTTTCTTGTTGCCTATACCTTTGCTTTTCCTTGGAATTAAACTAATCAATTATTTTCCTGCTAATTGTAAAGCCTCTTTTATTTAAAAGGAAAGATACATTTTCATAATAGTCTCTTCAGTCTTAAAACTGAGATTAAATGTTGATTTTCAGACAGAAAAAAAAAAATGTGAGCAGATTCTCTTCTACTGAAAACCTCCATCTGAGCTGATGGCTGCTGACATCTTGAAGCATTCCCAAGCAAGGGACAGAATTGAGGAGGGGCTCAAAATGTCTTTGTCTGTGATAAGGGTATATTCTTCACAGGGAAAAGTAGCAATGAACTACTGCCTTATAGATGTTCACATGTTCACTCTGTCTCCTAATACACAGTTTGCACAAGAGAATAGGATAAAGTGCTGGCCTGGAGCAAAAGTCACTTCTCCATACCAGTTCTGCAGGACTCTACATACCAGCTTCAGCTGATCCATCTGGAATTCCTTGCTGAGCCAAGTTTTTGCTCCTTTGGACCATCTGTGCACTGCGAAGACCCTGCCTCCTTGCCTGTCTGCTACATTGTCTCCCAAAGTACTCACAAACCATGTGGCAGTAAGTCCCAAATTAGTTCATATACGTTCTGGCAAATTCATCTAAAGAAGTTATTCCTTGTTTTTCAAAATATTATCCATACTAAATTTATATCCAAGCAATAATACACAAGAAGTAGCTTGCAGATCTTTGGGGTTAAAATGGGAATGAATGACCTTGAGAAGATGTTCTTTGGAGAGAGGCAATCCAGTAGTAAAATTTAAACTGAATCACATTAATGCAATATTACAGGTGAACAGACTTCAGTGTAACAGCCTGAAAACAACAGCTACATATTTACACTAATGCTCTAATTTTTAGTCTATTTCTTTAGATCTGCATTATGTACCCAGTTTCAAAATAGGAGAAGTATTGTTTACTGTAGGTGTCCTTTTATGAATCATCAATAGTGAGGGAAAATGTACTCTTACTGCAATCCTTTAATAATTAATCAGTAATAAGGACATACATGTTTAAGTGTTTTGCGTGTTGTACCTTCTGTTCTTGTTTAACAGAGACATTTCACTGCTTGTGAATGCTGTTCAAAGAATATTTTCTCCTCTTTAAAATAAAGGAATTAGATGACTACTTCATTTCAATATGCCTAGTGAAATATGACCTTTTGCTGAAAATATCAAGAGTGTACAGAGCTCGCAAGAGTTTCAGTTTTCTGCTACAGGCAGCAGAGTGGCCATGGTGGGAGAACAGAGACATTCTGTTGCATGCCACATCTCAGGTCAATCACTGGCATTGGGATGGTCAGCAAACTCCACTCTCTTGTTCTTTTCTCCTACTTTTCTTTGTACTCTGCTGGTAAATGCATTATGTTTTAATTCTGTTCATACAGCAACAAGTGCCGTGGATGTCCAAGTTTACAAAAGTGCATTAGATACATTAACAGCAATCTGAATAGTGACTATTGAATCCAAGTAAGAGTTTAGATGTGTTGCAGATCATTAGTGTAATGGTTCACCTTAAGCTGAGAAGTTTTTCTTTCCTGATCAGAAATCTTCTTCCAGCTCTGCCATGAATCAAATTAGTTCTAGTGGCAGTCAATCTGCACATGGTTGCAGATTTGTTTCCTCTGGATTTTTTCCTCTGTACTGTATAGAACTCTACTCAAAACCCACTTTTCCACAGAATGCTTGGTACTGATTAGGAATATAGACATAATCGTATTTAACAAACAAAGATGAGCTGCAAATCTTTAGTGAAGATGCTTGTATATTGGCTAAGATAAATCTGCCTACTGTTAGGGAAGAGAAGAGGTTAAGGATACATTTCAACTGGTTAATCCACTCCAGCAAACACTTTGAAGTGTTGTGAAAGCTGAAAGATAGAGAGCACAGAGTATTTGTGAAAGCAGTTCCAGTGAAAGCAGTTCCACTCAAATTATAATTTAAATAATTATTATTTTCATCTTAACAGTAACTGAATTAAAAGTGGTGTATCTTTTGCCCTTTATTTAAACCATGGAAAAAAATAAGATAATAATAAAAGTACATTTAATCCAACCAAGACCAGTAAATATTCTAATGGCTCCTCCTTGTCCCACTTCCCAAGTTGTTTTCACCTGTCCCAGCTCTACTTCTGGAAAGTGAACGCAAGCACAGCCTCCTGAAAAAACTTGTTTTGCTAAAGTTGGCATGGAAATGCTGGGCAAGACTTCAATCTCAGGCATTGGCTGAGGATTACGTAAGGTTGATTCTCTTCATTGTTTCTGCTGATCTTTAAGCTGTTAATAAAGAGTCAGTTTGACTTGATTCTTTTGAATGGAAAACTACACAATGTTTTTGTGATGAAAATGGTCATGCTGATTAGGTAAGCAGTTTTCCATAATGAAAGTGTAAATGCGTCCACCCTGCCATGCAGGTACAGAGTGCAATGCATTTACTTTTCCTTTTCTTGTAGGCAAAAAAATGCTCTCAACTCCTGCTTGCTTGCTGTGGTGATTTTTTAATGTAGAGTATAAACTTGAGGACTGTGTTAAGACTGCTTTTTTTGGAAGAGACATAAAAATTTGTTTATTTTCCTCTGGATTTTTGACTGGCAAGTGTCTGACATTTTAATATACTATTTTCTTTTCTGTCTTCTTACAAATATATACTAGGAAATCTTATTTTCCTCCTAATAGCTGAACCAGATTGTCTTCAATTAACAAAATCTGGCCAAGACTTGGGTAAGGAACTGTCACTAAAGGGGCAATGGATCCATCACAGAATCATATAATGGTTTGGATTGAAAGGGACCTTAGAGATCATCTTGTTCCAATGCCCCACCGTGGGCAGGGTTGCTACCTTCTAGACTAGGATGCCCAGGTCTGGCCTTGAGCACCTCCAGGGATGGGGCATCCACAGCTTGTCTGGGCAGCTTGTGCCAGCACCTCACCACCCTCTGAGTAAAAAATTCCCCTCTAATATCTAATCTAAATTTTAGACTCTTTTAGTTTTAAACCACTCTCCCTTGTTCTATCTGCCCATGTAAAATGCTGGTCTTCCCCCTTTTATAAGCTCTCTTCAAGCCCTAGAAGGCTATGATGAGGTCTCCCCAAGGACTTCTCCAAGCTAAACAAACCCATCTCTCTCAACCTTTCCTCATAGGAGGTGCTCCAGCCCTCTAATAATCTTTGTGGCCCTCCTCTGGATCTGTTCCAAATGCTCTGAATCTTTCTTGTGGTGGAGGCCTCATGCCTCGGTGCAGTACTGCAGGAGGTGCCTCACAAGGGCAGAGAACAAGGGGCAATCAGTTCTCTCTCCCAGGAGTTGGCCTCCCTTCTAGTTTTTCAAGCTGCAAGTGTGCAAGGCTGGCTCATGTCCAGTTTTTTGTTCAGCAGGACCTCAAGTCCTTTCCATAGGTCTTCTCTCAAGGAATTTTTCTCCCAGTATGCACACATATCTGAGATTTCCTTGACCCATGTGCAACACCTTGCACTTGGCCTTGTTGAACCTCACTTGGTTCACATGGGACCCCTTTTCAAGCCTGTCCAGGTCCCTCTGGATGTCATCCTTTCCTGCTATTGTATCAACTGCACTGCTCAACTTGGTGTCATCAGCAGAGTTGCTGAGGGTGCACTTGAACTCATCATCTATGTCATTGATAAAGATCTCAGTTCTTGTTCTTATTTGCAAGTTTTCCATCATCATAAATTAGAATAATCCATGGAGCTATATTTGCATACTGCACTGGAAGATGTGAAGAGCTGTATTTGGTGCCTTGTACCAAAGAAGGTGAAGAATCTGCAACAGTAACAGATGGTGTGGACATTGTGCAGAAGGCTACACTGTGGCAGTAGCAATGTAGCTCATGATGAGTGGATGCTTTTACAGCTGTCATCTTCACCGCCTTATTAAATCTACGTGACTGCCTTCAGCTGGCTTCATTCATGATAATCATGATGCCTTTTCTTTGTTTATGGCCTATCTTCAACTACAATGGTTCTAGGTCATATTCTTGACTCCCAGTATTTACAAAATATGTACTTCTGCTTAGCTTCAAATCAGAGAATGATCACAAGAAATATCAGTGGGGATTAGAAGTGTTCTACACAGCAGACATGTAAACTTGAGTTTCTGTAGGTAAGAAATTAAGTTCAAAAAATCCCAAGTTTTTCTGGCTGCTCACAACAGATTTTGTTATCACGTTTGTTTTTTGTATTTCTTTGTTTTAATCAAATATCTGACTAAGTTCATTTGGCTGCTAAGTAAGTTGAAACAATGTGACCAGTTGATTAAGAAATATTTCTTTTAGAAGATACTTTACCCAGTAAAATCATATGTTTCAGATTGAGAAGTGGTAATTCTTAGAAAATGTAACTGAATATGTTCTGATTTTTTAATTATTATTTTATTTTATTACTGTTTTTTGGTAACTCAAACCTTCAGCTTCATCTGAAGAATTCAAATGCAAACTGTCTGTTTGCTTGAAACCATTTACTGATTTAGACCCAATTTCACAAAATTTCACAAATAGTTTCCACTGTCTCCAAGTGCACTTTTTGGCAAAGTTTTTCCATGCAGCTCTCAAATGCTCTCAAATGCAATATACATGAGAGTGCATCATAAATGGTAGCTGCAGGCAAGCAAGGAACAAAGGGGCATAAAGATGTGGAGGAGATAGGGGATCTTGAACTAGTTTCCTTTTAGATTCATTCATATAAGAAAGTTTTGGAAAGGTGCATCTTATGCACCTTCTAGTCAGGCAGTGAGTGATTTCTGTGAAGTCTGAGACAGGCCTTTCCTCCCAGGTTCTGCCAAGCTGAACTTCTGGTGCTGAGAACCCCTGTTGTGCTTCCTTGCTGACACCCCAAAGACTCCAGTTCTTGTCTTCAGAACTCCTGCTTGAGCTAAGGAAGCTCAGTGTTGACAACACAGCACTGGAAGCTTCTTGATGGCTCTCCTTGGTTCCATACAGCTGGTGCAGAAGGACACAAGGAAGACTTGGCCTTGCAACAGGTGGGGATGAGCAGTGGAAAGTGGTGCTGTGCTCCACCACCTCCTCAGTATTTTCCAGCAGCTATGCCCTTTCTTCTGTGCATGAGGTTGTAGGGGGGAACAACAGCCGTGTCAGAGCTAAAAGCTTCTTTGAAATATTTTACTTTCAAGAAAAACAAAAGATGTTCATGAGGGTAGAAAGAAATGCACTGAATTCCACAATCTGTTATTATAGCAGTATAAATTTTTGTTCTTTTAGTCACTGTTGGACAGAAGGCCATACTTGCATAGACAGTTCAACAGCCTCTTTAGGATCCTCCCAAACACACACAAAAAAATCATCTGTAGTATTCAAATCATCTTCATGTGACCACTGTCTGGCAAGCCATCCTTCAGTTCATTTAAAATTATAGTGCAGGGTGGGTTAGAAAAGGGGAAGGAAAAAAAAGCAACAGCAAAGTCTGTTTTTCAACCTAGTAACAGAGACTTTGTATTGGAAAATACTTGACAGCAAAGATTGGACAAAGAACACAGCACAACATAGCAGTTTTCCTGGTATCTTGTTAACTGCTCAGCATAACTTTCTGGTGAATATTGCTAGAACTGGCCCTTTTCATGCTTGCACAACATCAACAGGTAACTAACTGACAGTAAGTATCACAATTTGTGATAAATTTCTAATTGCTTAAAAAGGAGAACTATTGCCTTCCTTCCAAATGAAATGTGAGAGAGGCTTAGGGAAAGAAAGTTCAGTACACTCAACCAACAGGATTAGAAATCCAGAGATTCAGACTGGTTCAAACAACATATTCTTCACAGTGTTTGAATTGGTAAGCGGTGTGAGCTAGAAAAACATCCTAAATCATAACCAAGCACCAGACCAAGAAAAATAATAGGATTTCCAAAGGTGTATAGGACAAGAATGTTCAATAAACACTGATAAGGAGTGTTTGGGAACAAAGAGTGTTGAGAATTTTCTTTTAGAAAACTATTCTGTTAGAATGTGGTGATTCAGGAAAATGAAAACATTTCACATGAATGTAAATAACCATTTGATTCTTTCTCTAAAAAGCCATAAATATACATGCAAAGCACCTGATGGATTTCTGTAAATAGAAGGAATTAAAATGACACATACTGGCACATGAGTTTTATAAGGCCTTTCTGATATTTTTGTGGGCCACCCCAAAGTGTTATTTTGCCAAAGTGCGACCAAAAAGAAAATTTGATATGTTTACATTTTCCATAGAATGGTCTGGATCCTTTGGAAACTCCTCTAACAAAAAGATAGATTATGCTTCTTAGCAGTTGCTACTACTCTACACTTTCATTGGAGTCTCTGGAAAAAATGTACCCAGAGATGGAGTGACACTGAAGAGTGGCTCAGATTCTCAGAATAAACCAGGAATTGTATGTCCTAGTCAACTGTATAGACAATCCCCAAGATCATATAGCCAAGCAACTGACTACAAATATTATGAAAACAAAATACCATGAATATTAGCATAAACAGATCATCAAAATATAAGGTATTCATCAGAATGTAAGGTAAGCTATGTAATGTTATTGTTCTGAATTCAGAACAGTGGAGTGTATTCAAACTGTAGTGTGACCACAGCTTATTTTGTGTCTTCATTTGTTTGTACTGTTCCAGGTAATATGAATGGTTGGATCAAATGACTGCGAGACAATTGTGTCCAAATTTCTATGTGGTATTTATATAATACATACAGATGAGAAATCTGATTTGAAGGTGTGGAGAGCTCTGCACCACTTATCCATGAAAGTCTTTTAGGAAAGTACATGCTAAATTCAGGTATGTGCCACTGGATGTGGAGCTACACAACATACAATTTTTTTTTTTTCCTCTGTGGTAAATATTCATACCACTTAATTGCACAGATAACGAAATCTCCAAGTATTGCTGCAACATCATGTCTGCTTTCATTTTTTAATTTCCTCAGAGTATCAGCTCTGCTCCGTTTAGGACCAAAACCTGAGAGCATTCCAATGGGGCTGTGCTGACAACAGAGACAGTGGGCTAATCACAAGTCTCTGGAATGAGCTTTGCATTAAGGTTCTTTATCCTACAAAACAACCAAAAGGCAGTCAAGATAGTATGCAGTTCACTCCGGCTAGTTTATCAGACTCCTAAGCAGACTAGCCATGCATCTATAGCCTGTTTGTATATCTCCAAAAGTGCAGACATAGCTTACAAGGTCACAGAGAATTCAGAAGTACAGGAACAGCAAAAGAGTATGAAAATTACGAATATATTGTCATGCTTGACAGGTTGCAGTTGCTTTCAAACAGAAGTTATTTCAAAGTTACCCATACCTTTTGCAAAGTTTCATTCATGTCCTGCGTGGCTATGGAGAGTAGATCCATGTAACACCAGTGTGTTCAGGAGTGCCTTTCTACGGCCTCACAGATTGTATCTATATTGGCAAGCAATTCTGTGCAGTAGGAAGAGATCAATAAATCAAAGCTTCCCCTTGTTCCTAGTTTAATACATTCTAAACCTAATCCAAGTAAAGGAAAGGAGCAACCAGGAGATCTGTGTAGCAATACACTGCTGCTCCAAGCCAAAATGTTAATATCAGCATGGCCACACTTACTCTTACAGAAGTCCATAGAAAATTAGATCTTAAGAGTTTTGCCCTAAAGGAGATGATACGGAAAAGTCATTCTTGCACTGACAAACCTCTGCTTTTCCATGCATGTCTCCCTTGCAGGTTTCAGTTCTGTCAGAGCACACAGCATGTCAGACTGGGGATACATCTTTTCTTGTTAATCATATCATATACCAGCTTTGTGGCTGGTAACTGAATGTATTTAGGCATCTTTCTATCTTCCAGTCAAAATTTGGCCGAAAGCTTCTGTGTTAAATTGTTCTCTGCTCCAGAACTTGCCCAGAGCAACAGCACTCCAAGACTTCACTCAGCTCTTTGTTTTACAGTGGTTATAATCAAACTATTGTTCTTCATGCTTTAATGGAGCTCCTAGAAAAGGAGATTTGAAAAAGAGGGTTAAGAACAGGTTTATAAAACTTAAGTACATACCTAATCTGTCTGGGAAAATTCACAATTCACTTTGCACATTTTTGAAGCTGTCTCCAACCTGAATATCACAACATCGTGCAAAGTCTGGAAGTATGTGATTAATAGATTTACCTAATTAAAAACAAGCAAACAAAAAACAACAAACAAAAGTAAGTTTATATCTGAAGCTGTCTATTTGTAATATTATATATGTATATTATTATATATCTGTGCTAAATATATGTATAGATATATACTGTATTTTGTGTGTATTTGTACATTTATATATAAAAACACACATACATATATAGCACTATGTGTGCAATAATTAATAAAGCAGTGTTTCTTAACAATAAAATTGTCTCTTTTTCTTCCAAAAGAAAATGGTAAAAATTTCAAAGCCAGTGTTCAAGAACTCTGACCAATCTTTCTACTAAGAATATGAAGATACATGCCATCAATCAAGAAACAGGATTATATTTTGAGCTAAAATTAAGAGACTGACTGAACTCTACTATAAAAAGAGTAGGACTATAACAACCTTGAACAGATGAGGCACTACCTTCTTGTCATCTCTTAGTTACTTCAGCTTTACAGCAGAGGGTTTCCTCCAGCAGATGAAAGGGGTTACATCTGTTCAGACTAGTGTCATATGGGCATGTCTTTCATGTGTTGCAGTGCATAATTTTTTTATGCTGCCTTGCAGTGCAGAGTTTGATGTTAGATTCCTAGACTCACTGGACTGTACAGAGATGAGGATACTTCAAAACAGAATTCAAGGCAATATCCTAGAGTTTCCTAGAATTTCAAGTTGCAAGTGGGACTCCCACATAACCTGCTGACAACCACAAAATTCCTGCTGATGTTTTGGGTATTTAGGTCCATTGCTTCTGACTTTCACTTAGGCTTGATAGTCATACCATCTTTAATTTTTTTATGAAACATATATGAGCAGAATTATCATTGCAACTTCAGCCATCTTACAAATATGGTGTGAACTGGCCCAAGGAGCCATCATGAGAAGGCAGACAGACAGTGCAATCTTACAAACTCATTTCCTTAGAAAACTAGAATAATGATACTGACAAGGAGTTAGATACTTTCGGGATTTGACAGGAAATGAGAAGGAGTTCTCAGTTTTACTTTAATATTTACCAAATAACATCCTTTAATAGTAAGTATTTGAATGCAACATAAGTCCCTTCTTTAGTCATATTCTTAGTATTTACTGGCTTTAAGTTATCCATTGCAACAATAAGCAAGTTCATGACACAAAGTAACCTGTGTAACCCATGGTGAAAAAGAGAGTTCCTATGTATTGCAAAATGACATACCCACACAAATTAATACTGATTGCTGATCCAGGAAGGCTGGAACCGGAATGTTAGTGGGTTAGTACTGGGGAAAGTGCAGGAAGCAGGACAGGGGAAACAGCCCATTCTTCTTGTATGTTCTCAGTGAGGAGAAAGGCAGCTGAGCACATGCCTTTCTTCTCCTCCAGAAGGCACAAGTAAGATTTTGTATTTTGTTCTTTTATGGTTGTGCATTTTGTATTTTTACATCTAACAAAGCAGAATGTTACACATTAGAGACATCATTCTCTATTGTCCCCCATTTTTTGGCTGTTCCCACCTTACTCAGGCTTGATAGTACATTAAGTTGAGGTTTTAGAACATGTTTGCTGCAGGTCACTATGTAGAAGCAGACAGTGTAGGGAGACAATTCCTTCCATGTGAAATCAAATGTAGTTATATGCTAAGCTGAGAAAGAACATGCTGATGTTCTCTCTCTATTTTGGTTGCTTTCAGCTATTATTTCATTGTTTAATTGGACAAGTTATACTAATAAGTTATGTTTCATACAGCTCGCCTTTGCAGAAATGATCCCACTGCAATTTCCTGTTCTTGGTACAGCCAGATGAGTTACTTGTAGTCATTTTGAAAAATGACTACAATTTCCAGTCTTTTTTTCAGCCACCAAGTTAGTGGAATGAGTAAAAGTAGCAATCTTGCAGTGAACCAGCTGGTCTTGCAGTTTGGTTTTTATTCAGTCATTCTATTCAGTCTCCAAATATTTCAAGCAGCTCATGAAATATCTGGGTTACCTTTCTCATGAAACTGTGGAACCTGGAGTTACTATGCTTTTGTTGTGCCCAGTGGCTCCGCTGGGCTGAGAAGTCTGGAGCCAGTGGGTCTCCTGCCCTTTTGGGTAAGACCTGGCTGCACTCAAGCTCTGCACCAGGCCCTTCTCCAACCTGGAGAGCAATGTAGAGCAGCACTGTGTAAAATGTCACTATACACTTGGCATACATAAAGAGAAAACAAACAGAAACAAAAATTAGAAAGAAAATCAGAGCACAACAAGCAATGTCACAGTCATCTTAACAGGGAAAATAAGTGCTGGCACCTCTTCAATTGCCTATCAACATGCTTGTTCACACTGTCAGCACTTTGCCCAGAGAGTGCTTTTCCCCTTTGCAGTACCTATAACCCATCCCTACATGTGCCCCATCCTCACATGTTATATATTTCTTGTGTAGCTTGACCAAATCATCCCATTTCATACCTCCTGGGTTCCTCCTACGGGTTCTTTTCTGTCTTCCCTTCTCAGCCTTTTTAGTTATTTCTTCCAACTTACTCATGAATTGAAAACAAAACTTTTCTGGAGTTAAGACCCCATATCTCCTAGGTCAGTTTTCACACTTTGTGGCACTTATAGAGGTAAAGATCTTCTCATCCCCTTTCTCACCAGCCCTCTGCCTTCCCCCATGTTTCCTTTCTTCCCTCAAGCTTTGGAAGAGAAAGACTCAAATTATAATGTTTACTGGGTACCAGCCAGCTCTTCTGGCTGAGGCTGGGCTTGCTTCAGTAGTTGTTTGAACTTAAGCAGTTGTCAGAGTACGAGAATAGAGAGGTTCCAGCTCATGGAACAGAAAACTATGTCACAGTATACAGCATGGAAAAGCTTTAATGACTTCTGCATGATGTTTTTCTGATCCATTTTTTCAATGGATTTCTTCTCATGTTCATGTTCTTCTAATACCGACTACCCTGAGGACATGAAAACCTTTGTTATGTCAGTCATAGAGTTTCTTCTCCCGGTGAAGTGCTATGCAAGCCTTTCATTTTGCCGTTTATTTGCTCTTAAGAAACATTTCTCAAGACAGCAGAGGTGGGCTTACAATATTACAAAACTAGTTTAGGCTATGACCAAACAAGCTGCCAAATTATACATTTCCTAATTATAGTGATTGTATGTGCTAGACGGAAAGATTTGAATTATATGTATGTGTGTGTATGTATATATATATTGTTCATATTTATAAGATACATTTTTTTTAATATTTATTTTTCATATATCATTACTCTCCATGGGACTGAATCAGTCTAGTCAACTCAAGTAGGTCTTACCAGAGAAAGATAAATGGCCACTTATTCCTATTGCTATTCTTATTCCTATTTCTAAAATGTATCTGAATATTTTTCAAAGGGCAGAGCAGAGTTTTCTTTTTATTTTCTTCAGATGGGATTAAGTTGCAGTCTTTTAGTGCTGTGGAAGAAACTGTGAAAGTCCTGTCTAATATAAAAATGCCTTTCAAGGAGAAGTAAAGCCTTTACACAAACTTCTGAAATGTCACATCTGTCAAATAGATGATAGGTACAATGCAAAATTTGCTCTTGGTCTTACTGAAGAATTTTTCCCCATTACATACCTTCTAGTTGTTTCTATTATTTCTGTTTCTAGTTTGCTTTAAGCCCAGTGCCAAAAGCACCTTTCCAGTCACATTCCATTAACACACAGATTAAAAACCCTTGTTTCCACTTCACAAGGCCGTGAGCTCTGGCATGTTCAAGAGGTTCTCCTGTGCAAATGTTCCTACTCATTTCACAAAATGAGGGGAACCAGTGAGGGTCATTTCTCATATATAGGATAGGAAAGTGAGCAAAGTGAGCACATGCCACAGCAAAACAGTCTTGCTCTATTCAATAGGTAAATAGTGCTCACAATAAGTGAGAGAATCTGCCTCTTTTAGTGTGACTACAGCAATCTGAAGATGGATATTAACGTTTCTGTATATCTGGCTATAAAGCACAGTGATCAGGACCTTGTCTTATACAAGGATTATAAATAATAATAATATTGCCTATTTAATGATGTCAGAACATTGTTCTTAACTCCTGCCATAGAGCATTTAAAAATCAAAAGCATTTCTGCAGTCAAATGATGGGATCTAGAAGGCCTTGTTATACCTTCAAGGTTAATTTGGCAAGGAACTAAATCAGAAATCTCAGTGGAGAATAAGGAAAGCTGTTTGATTAAAGGCCCTGTATTTTAGATTGCTGCTCCAATTCCACTTGTAACTCTAATGGAAATGAATTGATCTCCCTGCAAGGACGCGTGCCTATTACTAATACAGGTACTTGTATGTTTCTTCTTTCTCTGCTTTCAGAGGCAAAAGATGAGAGGCCGGGAGAAGTCATAGAAGTTTGTTGTTTTGTTTTTTTTTTCCATTTCTCCTGTGGAGAATAAGAAGTAATTTTAACAAACCCTGAAGCTTCACAGTGTCTTAGATTGCCTAACATCTTAATTGCTTTTGGTGATGTGCATGAGAGAGAGAGCCTGAAATTCAATCCAAAATCTCATTGAGTGTCAACAGATGCAGGAATATGAGCGGGATGCAGGCTGCAGCTGGGCTCTGCCAGGACTCTAAGCCAAACACACTGACTTGAAGAGTTCATAATCAGTCAAGATCTGCATCAAAAATGTGCAGCTCAGATCCACTTCTGGTCTGAAATAGGCCAGGCCACGTGCCAGAGGATACATACCTAATTACCAGGCTGTTCTGATTATTACTTCTTCTGTACTTTTCCCAGTAAATTTAGAATAAATTATATCTTTGGCAAATCACACAAAGAGATGATTATACATTTAATTGAATGTTTACCTCTCATTTTCTTCTTGTAATAGTAACTGGTACAGATTACAGGAACTCAGAATAATTTTCCTATATGTCTACATTTTCCCAGGATTAGATTCAGTGGAAAAATAAAACCACCAAAACAAAACAGTAAGAGTTCTGGTTAGGGAATATTTATACCATATTCAGCTTTTTTTTCTTCCTTTAATATGAAAATGAATAGTATCAAGGGATAGTGTCTTGGCTATTTGCAATCCATTGGAAAATGCATATTAGAGGAGGAAAATGCATAATTTATTAAATGTATTGCTTAAGGTGAGAAACTTGAAATTGAGTTTTGTAAGACTGGGGATTTGGGGTTATATGCTTGGCGTAGGTTACTCTATCTGCTGAATTATTCAGCACTATGCTTACCAGTGGGAATAACAAGAAAACAGACTTAGAGTTTGAAATGTATTTTCATTTGATTGGGGGGGGGAAAAAAAAAAAAAAAAAAAAAAAAAAAAAAAGGTTAGAAATGAAATAGCAGCAACACTCAGAAAGCTTTATTACCTTCTCATTAAAGAACTGTTGATGAATGGCTGCAGCTTTTCCTATGAAAGGAGTACTTCTATGCATTCACTCTGAGTGGTACTTAAATAAGAATGTTATTAGAGACTGTGATATCCATTAAACAGCCACAAATAATTTATATGTTTACCACTTACTTCCTATTGTCACCATTTTATTTCCAAGTAACCAAAATGTACATATGTGTGATACAAGAAAAGAACTGAAGGTATTCAAAGTGCTAATTTCTCTCAAGTGTTTGAGGAAATCATCTTAAAAGGAAAACTCTTCTCTTAGGATTGCTCCTTCCCTACAAAACCACTTTATGTTAGAAAAGTACTTTGATTTCCTTCAGATTTTTCAAGAGCTGTAGGAGTAATTTTCTTACTCAAATTTTAGTATAGTAGGAAGAAAATCTGCTTTAATGGAAGAAAATCTGTTTATTTATTTGTTTATTATTGAAGCATCGGGTTACCTATTTGCTGGAAGATTTCTTAAATGTATAAAGGAAAACATTTTTCTGGCAACAAATCTCTTCAGCCACCACAAAGAAACAGTTGCTTCAGGAACTGAAATAAAAGCCTTTATTTTGTCAAGTTCTACTTTTTTCATCATAAATCGGGAGCATCTCCCCTTGAAAACTGCAGGCTTTTTCTCCTTATCACATGATTAAAATCTCTTCAGTTAGGAGGAATCAAAGAAACACTCCATCTTACCTATGCTGAGTTTCACTATTTCTCTGTTGGAAACACTCTGTTAGCCTGGAGCAAACAAGAAATATCTGAATCTGAAAGCTTTTCTCTCCTGTCCATCCCATGTTCCCTACACTCTACAATAGACTACCCACAGATCTCATGAACTTTGACCACTTCAAACATTATCAATAAGAAGGGATGAGAAGAGTCTCAGACCTCTGTTTCCTCACTTACTCAGCAAAATATAGTCTCCAAAAACTGGGGAAAATAGAAATAGCAAAATAGTCTCTCAGCAAAACACCAAGTATAATGAATGAAAAGAATTATGGCAAAATTCCCAGATCATTTGAAGTATGAGGAATGGTCCTCTATGGTCAGGGTCTTCCACAATCAGAATTCTCCACTCGAAAGTGAAGGCAGAATAGTGCATCAAAACAACACTCCATTAAAGTACAGAGCAGAACAAGAAAAAATTCACTGAAACAAACCAAACCCTGACACACAGTGAAAGAGCCAACAAGGTGGATCTGCATGTGGACAGTGTAAGTGATCACAACAGATGTTTCCACATGTAGGATCTGTTGTGTGACCAGCTCCTAATATGGTGACAGGGGTAGTCAAGAAAGGGAATATGACATGCTGCTGAATTTTAAATCTGCCCATTTCATCATTTGACATCTTTCCTTATCCTTAGATCAAGCTGAATGTATTCTCAGATGTCTCTGTAAGATAGTGTCAATGTGCTCATTCAAAGAGCGCAAAGTAAAAACTGATTTCAGAATGGTCACTTCCTTAAACTATAGGAAATAATTGATTTGCACAATTAGATAGATTTTTTTTTAATTTTGTATGTGTTTCCTTTTCTGAACCAACTTTTTGACATTTTGTTTAATATTTCATAAATTCTTCCTACAATTGATTGATATAGAGCACGATAACAGCAATATTTAATAAGAAGCTGCTTATTCTCTTTGGTTTTCCTTTGATTATTTTTGTAACAAAAGGAAAGTTGTCAGGCCTGGAAAATGCGTATGTACAGATTAAAAAGGCTGTGGAAAACTTCTAGGTTTGTCCAAGGTGAGAGATTCTGTCTGGTGAGGAGAAGTAAGAAAGACAAACATGGAACAATTTAAGACTAACACCTAGACATCAGTTTAGTCAACATGTTTAACTTCTTTGGAAATAAAACGTTCTGCTCTCTTAATACAAGCAAATAGAAGCTAGCATTTATCATATTCAGAGCACTCA